AAAAAAAAAAGAAATAAATCACGGGGCTGGGAAGGTGGCTCAGTGGCAGAGTGCTTGTCTTGAATTCATGAGGCCCTGGGTTTGATTCCTCAGCACCACAAAAACAGAAAAAACCGGAAGTGGCGCTGTGGCTCAAGTGGTAGGGTCCTAGCCTTGAACTGAAGAGCTGAGGGACAGTGCCCAGGCCCAGAGTTTAAAAAAAAAAAAGTAGTAAATCACAATGATAGGTCCTTTATTACCTTGGCCTTAAACTAGAGGCATCTAGGCTGAGGACATTTGGCTTGGTGATATGGGCAGAGCTCCTTTTAACACAGTTCTGTGTTCTGGGTTACAGGACACGAAGAGCAACAGAGAAGTGGCTAGAGTCCCAAACGCTAAGGAGTATGATGTCAACAGAATCTCAGACTTCCGAAATGGACTTCCTGGAGCCTGATCCTGAAATGCAGTTGTTGCGCCAGCAGCTTCTGGGAGCTGAGGAGCAGATGCATGACATGCAGACTAAGGTAGCCTTGGGGAATGGGGAGGCAGGCCTTTCTACTGGTTCCCTTTTACCACCTTCTGGTCTGTGGTAGACCCGGGACTGACAGAGGAGGCATGCACCATGGCACAGATGGTACCACTGGGTTCTGCTAGCCTCCCTAATGTAAATACAGTCATATATCACGTGGTGACATTATGGTCAAAAATGAATATATATACATACTATATATATATATATATATATATACACACATATATATATACACACATACATATGTGTATTTATGTATGTATAGATATATATGCATATATATATACATATATATATATATATATATATATACACACACACACATATGAATGAGATGGTGGTCCCAAGAGATTATGATTATTATCACCTAATGATGTTTTAGTCCAATAAAGACAAATCTACTGTGCTGCCAGTCTTAAAAAAGTATGGCACACACAATTATGTATAGTAAATAAGACTTGACAGCCAGGCACCGGTGGCTCACGCCTGTAATCCTAGCTACTAAGGAGGCTAAGATCTGAGGATCAGCTCAAAACCAACTGGATAGGAAAGTCTATGAGACTCTTATCTCCAATAAACCACCAGAAAACTGGAAGTTGCACTGTGGCTCAAGTGATAGAGTGCTAGCCTTGAGCTGAAGAGAGCTGAGTGACAGTGCCCAGGCCCAGAGTTCAAGCCCCACAACCAACCAAAAAATAAAAAAAGAGAGAGAGTGAGAGAGACTTGACAGTGATAATAAATGACTATGCTAGTTTCTGTATTTATTATAATAAACTTTGTTTTGTTACATTAGAGTATATTTCAACTTACAAAAACAGAAAAGTTTACTGTATGCTGGGTGCTAGTTAGGCTCACACTTCCTAGCTGCTGAAGAGGCCCAAACTGGATGATTGTGATTCAAAACCAGCATGGACAGAAAAGTTTGCAAGACTCTGTCCAATTAACCAGCAAAAAGCTGAATTAAGAGATATGGTTCAAGTAGTAGAGCACAAGCTATGAGCAAAAAAGTTAAGTAAGAACATAAGACCCTGAGACCAAGCCTCAGTTCCAGCACACACACAAAAAAGTTTAGAGCAGTATGCCATGTTATGCTAGCAACAGTTAGTATATGTAATTTTTTTTAAAGCCTCATATTCCCTGGATCTCTCAATCTCATCCTTTTCTGTTGTGTGTCATTTAATCTCATATTCTTTTGTTTAATCTCTTTTGATTTGATCTCATATTCTTGTGCATAATTTAATCTTATGTTCTTGGTCCTCAGAACAATAAGCTATAATATACACATATACATATATGGGTATGTGTATATGTGTATATGCACACACACATGTTACACAGACTAAGAGTATAGTATAATATGCTACATAAGTTTCTTTATGTAATGTCTGCACAATGATTCAGTGGCCTAATGACATGTTTCTCAGCACAAGTCCATGTTAAGTGACACATGCCTGTATTTCAGTCCAAGTGTAACAATTTCTCAGCCTGAACCTAGAGTGCATATGACACTTGCCATACATGGGCCTCCCTGTTCCATTTCCTGCAGTGTAAGGACTTGTGTTGTGAGGTGCAAGAGCTACAACATCATCGCCGGGCCAGCGAGGAGGAGCAGAGGCGGCTGCAGAGGGAGCTCAAGTGCGCCCAGAATGAGGTGCTCCGGTTTCAGACCTCCCACAGCTTGACCCAGGTAATCTCAGGGGTGGGGGTGGGGCTGAGGGGAACACATGAAAAGGCAAGAGAGCCTGTGTGTGGAGGTGCCGCTTCTGGGAAGGCTGGATGCAAGTGAGTCTGGGCTCCACTATTGGAGACCAATTGAAGAAACCACATGGCAAGGTATTCTAGAAATGGTGGTCATTGTTGAGAGCCTGCTCGCTGAAGAAACCAAAGCATGGAAGCAGGGAAGCTTTCCAGAATACCTGCACCTGAAAAAGGACCAAAGTGCCCTGGAGTGGAGACCTGCTGTTTCTTGAGAATAACTGATCTACCCACATCCTTCCCACTGCAGAACGAGGAGCTCAAGTCCAGGCTCTGTGCCCTGCAGCAAAAATATGATGCTAGCCAGGATGAGCAGAATGAACTCTTGAAGGTGCAGGCGCAACTTCAGTCTGAGCTCCGGCAGCTCAAAATCCTCAAATGTGCAGACAGTCAAAATGAGAAGGTAACAGCACCAGAGGTAAAGGGACAACTGAGGTGCAAACAGCACCAGCAGTCTGAGCTTTGGGGGAAGGTGAATAAGAATAGAGTTAAAAATTGTAGCCACTAGCTAGGCAGCATCCCTCCGGGTGGGAGGCCCTGTGGCAAGCCATGGGAGGAAGAAACAACTGGCTGGGAGTGAGTTGGGAAGATGAGCAGGGTCACAGAACCTAGTGGCATGACCCGAAGTCCTACATGCAGGAGTTGATGTGCCGGCTGCAGAGGCTGCAGAGCCAGCACCAGTGCATCATGAGCGAAAAGGAGAAGCTGCTAGAAGTGCAGCGTCATCTACAGGAGAAGCTGCGGTCCCACGAGGCAGAGCTGTACTGTCTCCGGGACATGGCAGCGTCTTTGCGCGAGAGCGATGAGAAGGTAACAGGAGGGCCAGGTGAGGGAGACAGTAGCCAGGCAAACTCTTCTGTGAGGGTGAGCACAGAGGACTGGGTCTGGTGGGAGTTGTTGGAGGAGGTGCTGTAATGCTATAAGTGGGTCGAAGAGGGCACAGAGAAAGCTGATGCTAGAGCGCCTGCCTAGGAAGTAAGGCCTTGACTTCAACCTCCAATGTTGGTGGGGTACTGATCTCCTGGGAGGTAGGGTATTCACACTTCCTTTGCTCTTTTAAATGAGAAAATAAGCCTATATAAAGGAAGTCTCTTTGCACACACACCCCCAAAAAAAAATACCCAGTGTCACAAGGTCAGGGTTTCACGCCTGTTAAGGATGGGTCCAACTTGAGTCTCCCTGGCTGGGATGAAATTGGGGCTGGAAAGGAAGAATAAGGGAGAATCAATCCATCCCCTGCTTTCTGCCTGAGCAGAAAGTAAGGCAGAGGAGCACCTAAGGTGATGGCTGGACCTCCCCTGCCCAGAACGTAGGGATGCAACTCGAGCTGCAGGAGATGAAGGGGCTATACCAGACGAGCAAGGAGGAACTGGAGCTGCAGAAGCACATGTATGACCAACTGGAGCAGGACTTCATGCTGTGCCAGATGGAGCTGACCCAGCTTAAGTGCGCCCAGCCCATTCCTGAGGATACGTGTATCAAGAAGGTAATTGTAGTGCAGGGTGGTGTGTGCCCTTGGCACCTGCTCCGGAGAGAGGAAGTGTAGAGAAAAGATGAGGCTGTTCAGCTGAGGAGGCAGAGCATGTCTGTTCACGTTAACCTAGTGCCTTGACTTTGACTTTGGATCCCAATCTTAATACTCAACTGTTTTACATGTGTGTATACATTTGACATCAGTATTAAACTGTGATGATATCTATGTTTGTGGAGAGGAACATATGCATAGGTTCATGTACACAATTATTGGTGTTGGGACTAGAAAGGGGGGCCAGTTTACTGAGGCAGGTTGCAAGTGCTTTTTTTAGGGGATATGGTGTGTGCCCAGAATGCTGATTGAGGATTAGAAGGACTAGACTCTTGCAGAATCTCTTCTCAGACATGGAATATATTCCCCTTTCAAATCAAGAGTAATTTTTCTCGGGGCTGGGAAGTTGGCTCAGTGGTAGAGCACTTGCCTTGCATGCTTGAGGCCCTGGGTTCGATTCCTCAGCACCACATAAGCAAAAAGAAAAAAAGCCGGAAGTGGCACTGTGGCTCAAGTGGTAGAGCGCTAGCCTTGAG